ATTGGTCCAGATGAGATAGAGGACCAAACTGTCTCCCCTTCACTCCAGAGTATGGGGACAGTAACAGGGAGAATGAGTGTGGGTATGTGTGAGTTTCTCAGACTACAGACTTGTAAGGTTTGAAGGCTCTGGGGATTCCCTGAATCACTTCCAGTTCACATGCCTTGATTGCTCTGAGCAGAAAATTGACAGGTATTATTCAGTACTTTTTTATGTTTCCAGACCTGTGCTAAGAGTGGTGTCAAACACTGCACTGAGGGAGAGACCCAGGAGCCCATTTCCAGGATGCTCTGGAATCCTTCACTACCCCTGTGGAGTAGTGAGTGTTGGGGAGGCCTGTGCAGGGGCATACCCTTTTGCTGCTGCTTGGTGCAGGAAGTGGGATTTTGGGGCATGCAGTCATATTAATACTCAGAAGCTTTGAAGGGTGTGGAGATAGGAGGGCCTAAGTCCACAGTTCTGTTTTCTAACCCTGTAACTGGAGAGATAAGAATATCATGCTGGTCACTGAGGAGTGATAGAATCTAGATGTCTTCCTTCTGCAAATTTTTCATTCTTATCGGGTTCCCTGGCCCTTTTTGCTGGGTTGGGTAAGGATGGCTCCAAGTTCCTGAACAAAGGGAAGAGAGGATTAGGTCTGAGCATTGAGTATGGCAATGAGAACAGTGCCATCGAAGGCAGTGGTTGGAGGCCTGGAAATGAGGAACTGGGGGCAGTTCTGTTCACCATCAAGGCTGGAAGGTGAGTGCTTATGTGTGTCAATGTCCATGAGCTACAGAAGAAAGTATCTGGACTATAGTGTAGAAGCCAATCTGGCTTCTGAGCTGATTGTGGTGGAACAGAGGACAACATGTGAGCCAGAAGTCTGGCTATGTGCCCAGAGCTGACCAGTTCTACCCATTCACCCTTCCTCCAAATCAGGCACAAAGGGAGCTGTCTCTGAGGTCTGGACAATCAGTCTGGGCCAGGCAGAGGGTTTGAGAACCAACTTGTCCACCTGGCATCCCCCACCTCCACCCCCTCCATCCCACACATTTTTGGGAGCCATTCTAGGACAGAATTGAGTGCAAGGCCTTTAAGGGTTGGGGGACTTAGCCTGGGGCTCTGAACCACTGGAACTTGGATGTTAGCCTCTTTCTGATTTCTGAATATAGGCAACAGGGGTGTTCTCTTGGCTTTAGGTTATTACCTAATTAGAAGATGGGGAATCTGTTTTTGCCTATGTTAGATCTTGCATTGATGAGATGATAACCTCCCTGGCTAAAACAGCCACAGGAGAGAGTGGGGGTGGGAGGTAACACTTCATTTTTTGATAAATGAGTACATAACCATACCTAAGAAGAAAACCTCTAGTTAGCCAGGGTAGGCATACCCTTGAAAATATGGCATTACGTTTTGAAGTCCAGCTTGCATATGCTGACTCACAGCTTTTTATTTATTAACAATCTTAAAAATAAACATATTAAAAGCACTTAAAAAGCAGTGCCCTGCTTACTATCTGGCACATAATAGGCACTCAGCCTTGAATGAATAAATAAAATACTATTGTCCTTAACCAAGCTGGGCATGGTGGGTGCTCCATGAGCCTTGGAAGCCAGGAGACTGTGGCAGAGTTTCTCCTATTTGCCCACAGAGACACCTTGGGGGATGGAGGCCTTCCTGGGAGTGGCCCCCTCATTAAGTTGTGCGTTTAGTCTGGGCTGGGCCGCTCCCTTATGTTTCCCAGAACCATCTCACCTTTTCTCTGTCCTTCAGATTAATCCTAACTTGATCCAAGCTCCTTCCTCCCTTGTCCCTCCTGGGTCCACGTGGGCTTGTGCTGCCCCCTGTGGGTGATATCATTGTCTTGGTTTTGCCCTTTCCATTTCTATTACCACCCTCTCTAACTCTACCCCTACCGCCCACACCAGCTTCCCCTTTTTCCATTCAAGGCCGTCCACAACTAAAGCTTACTTCCCTCTCAAGTACCTCTTTCTCCTGGCTAAATCCCTTACTTTAGCCAAACTGGTCCATTTATTTTCCCCAAATATCTGACCAACTGCCTTTATCCCCTTTCTCACTTGATTAAAAATACCACTTTCCTTAAGATCCACAAAGCTGCCTATGGCCTTGCTAATCACAAGGACTTATTTTCCCATGTCTGTCTCCTTTAGCTCTCTTAGCACAACTCATTCTCCATCTCCTATATATTCCCTTCATTCATGTAATATTTTAAAGTGTATTTTTTTAACCAAAGTAATTTTTATTGCAAAAGATCCATTAATGTGCAGAGCAACATGCAGAACCTGTTCCTCCCTGCTTACCGCCATTCCCATAGGTAGCCACCCTCAGCTATTTGGTGTGCATCCTTCTAGATGCTTTTCTAAATATGTTTACCTACAAACATTTGGGGAGGGATTAGAATATAAATGGGCTTATCACATCTAGTCATGCTTTTTTTTTTTAACTCAAGGGTATATACATTTATCTTAGAGGTTTTCCATGTTAGTATAGTTAGATCTTTTTAATGGTTTTCCAGTATAGCAAAGTATATTATTTATTCAAAATAAAATGTATTGGTCTAGAATCTGTAGTATTTAGGGTACTGTGAAGCTAGTACCTAGGGGACTCCAGATACGATTACAACCTTGTCCTTGCCATCAGAGAGCTGGCTTTTAGAGGAGATGGGGGTGGGGGGTGGGGCATACACAGATAACTACAGCCCAGGGAAACGTCATGTCCTGGAGTGTATTCCTGAAGTTCAAACTTAAGGAAATTAGGACTCACTATTTGAGCCTGGTTTGGAGGGATCTTGACAAGTGAAGGAAGAGCATGAGCCAGGGCACAGAGCTGAAAACACATGATGCAGGTTCATCTGATGCCAGACCATCCATGAGCAGAAAGGGGATTTGGTTTAGTTCACACACGTTTATTGAGCATCTAAGTGTCAAATGATGGCAATGAGAAGATAGAAATGACAAAGAGGAGGTTCTTGTGTTTAAAAGGCTTTCAGTTTAATGGAATAAAAGCCAAGTTTGGGAAGGCAGATTAGGACCAGATGAAAGCTTTCAACTGGCATGTCAGGCTGAATTTTATTCATTGGATAAGGTGGAGCCATGGCAGGCTTTTTAGTGGGCAGGTGACCTGACTGACACTGAGCAGATAGCCTCAGTGTAAGAATGGGCTAAAGTAGGGACAAGCTAGGGCCGAAGAGCCTTTTTTTTTTTTTTTTTTTAACAAGATAGAAGTTCATTTCTACCTCAGTTAAAAGGTTTCTGGTGGTAGACAGTTCAGGACTGGTATGGTGGCTCTACAGTTACCTGGGATTTAGACTTCTATCTTTTTGCTTCACCCTTCTAGCATATAACTTCCATCCTCATGGTCATCTCATGGTTTAACATGGCTGCTAGAGTGTAATTCATCTCATCTACATTCCAGGCAGCAGAAAAAAGGAAGGGAAGGAGATTGGGAAAAGGCAGAATAGTACATAATAACACATAGCTTAGCTAAATTAACTCCAAGGAACTTTCTGACAGTCCAGAATACTATTTCTAACACTTCTGTTTATGTCTTAAATTGGCTGGAACTTAATCACATGGCCTTATCCAGGCTTTAAGGAGACCTGGAAATGTAGTTTTGTTTCTTTTTATATGTTCATTTAAATTCTTTCCGTTTTAAAAAGTTTATAATTTGCATGCAGTGTAATGCACAGATCTTGTCATGGAGTTTGGTAAATTCTGGCAAATGTGTACACCCATGTAACCCATTTTCCTATCAAGATATAGAGTATTCCATCACACCCAGAAACTCCCTCCTACTGAGGGGACTTCTTCTTTATAAACAACCCAAAAGAGAGAGAGAATGAGGCCTTCATTAGGGTGGTAGCTATGGAAGCTGAAAGAAAGAGTGGAGAAGCTGTGGAGAGAGAATCCAGAGGAGACTGGTTGGATGTGGGAGAGGAGAGAAAGAAGAGAATGCTGATAGCAGAACCATAATAGAAATAGGAACTTGGGAGGGAGGTCTAGATTGTTGCAGCTGGAATGGAGGGGGCAAGAGGAATGAGCCCAGTATCCAATGTGTTGGTTTGAGGTGTTGGTCAAACATCCAGGTAGAGGTACGCAATAGGCATTTGTGTCTAGAGCTTTGAGAAAGCAGTCAGAGCTTAGTGGCATCATGTACCAGAGAGATGCTAAAGAGGACAAGGAACCAAGAAAAGACCCAAGAATTTGGCAACTGAGCTCCCTGATGACTTAGAGGAGTAGAATCCAGATGTCAAGTCTTGAGTGGGCAGTCATGGTTTAAATCATGCAGAAGGGGACTGGGTAGGGCTACCTGAAATAATTTTAAAACCCTTTAAAAACTGAAGTCCTTACACAAACATAAAAGGGATATATGTAGCTGCCTTGTTGACAAGTGTTTGTTGATGAAAGGAGAAAGGAAATGGTAATGTCAGAGGAAAGATCAGGGATTTGTCCCTTAGTTTTGGATATATGGCTCCAATATATATGTCTCCTTTTGGATATATGATCCGAAATTCAAGATGGAAGGGCTGGAAGTGGGAGAGGGATGCTGCCTTTGACAACTGCTGGGGTTGTGTGGGCCAGTCAGGCACTGCTAGGATAGGTGTAAGGAGATAAGTATCTTAAGAAAGAAGAGCAGAGAGCTAATACATTGGACTCAGGCAGTACTGCCTTTGAATTCTCTCTGACACCACTAGCTAGATGGCCTTGGGCAAAATACTTAACCTGAGTACCCTGTTCCTTATCTGTAAAATGGAAACAATTATGCCTACTTTTCAGGATGGTTTTGAGGATTACAAACAAGTGCCTGGCACACAACAGGAAATTGTAAATGGGTGCTGTTATGCGACCCAGCCCCTTGCTACGTGGCCGAACGGTAACGGGTGGGTTAGAATCCGCGACCTCCGGATCTTAGCGGGTTGGGAGGGCTCCCCGCGGCCTCCTCCCTCCAGGAGGTGGGGACAAGGTGGAGGAAGGGCTGCAGGAGGAGGAGCTGGCGCGTCGCGACCCGCCCCGTCCCGTCCAGTGTGGCCTGGGCGCCGAGGGGACTGCTGTCCTAGCAGCGGCCACCCGAGCAGCCTGTCCTGGTGCCCGGTGCCCTGCCCTGCGTCCAGTCATGACCCTGTGCCCCTCACTACTGCCGCTCCGTTGGCTGCTGCTGCTGATCAGTGGGGCGGTGTGCCGGGCTGACGCTGGGTTCGAAACCGAAAGTCCCATCCGGACCCTCCAAGTGGAGACCCTGGTGAGGAGGAGACAGTCCCAGGCCCCGCGGGGGCGGGCCTTGTCGGGAGCGGACCGGGGTTTAAGCGAACTGGGAGCGGGAAGGAGAGGAAGTGCGGGAACTGAGTTGCGGGACACTGGGTGTAGGGGCCAGAACGGGATCTTTGGAGGAGCCTCCGTGACTCCTGCAGTCCGATCATAGGTGGAGCCCCCAGAACCGTGTGCAGAGCCCGCTGCCTTTGGAGACACACTGCACATACACTACACGGTGAGGGGTCTGGGGGGCCGGGGCGGGGCCTGGGGGCGGCGCCCTGATGAAACACGTCAGCTTTGGGTTGGACACGTGGCAAGCGGTTCGGAGTAACTCCCAGGCTCTGGGGTCGTCCGGCACGTGGCGCGGGGGAGGGGCGCCGCTCTTTTCTGCCCATTTCCCCTGCTTGCTTTTCCACCAGTTCCTCCCTGGCGCAGAGGTGAAGGGTGGCGAGATCTCCCAGAACTGCCAGCCCTTTGGGGCTTCCTGTTCCTTTCTGCCCCGAGGGGAATGCTAGGCAGCAGCTGCTAGGGGGTTGTGGCCGCCTCTAGGCCCAGGTGTGTGTGGTGTGCTTGCTGGGAGGAGAGGTACTAGATGTGCATTCTTGATCCTCTCTCCTGCCAGGGCAGCTTGGCAGATGGGCGCATTATTGACACTTCCCTGACCAGAGACCCTCTGGTTATAGAACTTGGCCAAAAGCAGGTGATCCCAGGTATGTGACCTGTGCCTCCCCTTGCACTTCTTCCCAACTTAAGCCTTTTCTTAGCTTCTTCAACCCCTAGACTACCTTGGAAATGTCCCCAGGGCTCTACCAGACACCTCCTGAGGTTTAAAGTCCACTTCTAACATTCTTCTTCTCCCATATCCCACTGGAAGCCAAAAATTTGAGAAATGGGGAGCTCAACTGAGGGTCAAGGGGGAGCCATTGATCCTCCTCTCCTGGGATTTGGGGAATGTAGGCAGCTTCCTGTACAGTTGTGTCTTCTTCCTCAAGGTCTGGAGCAGAGCCTTCTAGACATGTGTGTGGGGTGAGTATCTGGGCAGGGGTGGGATTGGGTACCCCCCTTTGCATGGGTAGAGGCTTTCTCTGCCCTCCCTGCCTCTAGAGAAGGCAGGAGGACATGGGATAAAGGGCCCTGGCTTCTCACTGGGTAGGTCCAGGTCATTGGGACCCCTGAGGGCATCCAGAACCTCAGTGCCTATATAGCTGTGGATGTCACTGGAGGAGTCGAGACATGGGGGTATGGACACCTTTGCTGGTAACCTGTTTGGTGCTCAGGTGGAAAAGTTAATGTTTTGGTTGTGAATATCCAGAGTTTTCCTGGTGGGGCTTCAGATGGACTAAGGCTGCTGGCCCACCTGGTCCTACCTCTGGCTGTGATTGGCATTCCTTCCCTCAGAGAGAAGCGAAGGGCAATCATTCCTTCTCACTTGGCCTATGGAAAACGGGGATTTCCACCATCTATCCCAGGTAATCTCACTAGGCCTCTTTCTCAGGCAGTCAAAATACCCAGTCCCTAAGAGCCACAGGAAGCTACATACTTTGGAGCATGAGAAGGTCTAAACTCAGTTTGCTGAAAGGGACAGGAGTGGCTGGGGCCTCCTTCTGCAGGACTGCTTTTTTCCTCTTCAGATCATTAACAGGAATTTGAAAGATATAACTTGTTAAGGCCACCTGGCTTGCCCTCTAGCAGCCAGCACCTTTTTAGGGAGGAGACACCTGCTTGAGCCACATACGTCTGTATTGCCTGTGGCTCCCCTCTCAGAACTCTGGACTTCTTCCCTGCCTTTTTCCTACAACTTCAAACTCTGTACAGCTAGTGTGGCTTTTCACCACATCCCCACCCCTCCTTTCAGCATCCACCAGGCAACAGATAGTAAAAATGACCACAGTCAAGTAATTCAAAACAAAATAAAACAAAAAATAATTTTACCCCATAACTTAAAAAACCCTCACAGGTCACTGTTGATATCTGTTCTTGAAGGCTTGAGACTAGAGAGATATCCCTAGGTGCATATCTCTTGCTTTCAGTTATAACAGATGTTTATCATCTAAATTGTGTTGTACTTCAGAGTACCTGGATAAAGTTCTTATCCTAGTTCCAGCTCAGAGGGAGACCCAGAAAGAGGGTTGGGGGACTAAAGAAAAACTCTGACCCAAAGCTCTATTAGCTCCCCATTTCCAGTGCTGTTTCTGTTTGCATTTCTCCCGCTCCTCAGGTAGCCGCATCCTTCTTCCTCTCCAGCTCTTGCATTGAAACACCTATCTTTTCTAACAATCACATTGAGTGTGCTCATTGGTTGGTAGAATTTTAAAAGTTTAAATTCAGTTCATTTCAGCCCTGCAAAGATTCAATCCATGTGGCTGTTTGGAAATGGAGTGCAGAGTTTCTCATGTATAAATGGAGGACAGTCTGTACATTTCAGACCCACAGAAAGTTTTCCCGTGCTGTCAAATATCTGTCACTGACCACAGGCTATACTTGCATATTTTGGGAAAACATGACTACCACCAAATTCTGCTTATAACCCTTCTCTGCCTCTGTTCAAGGGAACTCAACACATTTAAATTCTGCCCGCTTCACAGTTGTTGCTCTGGTGTGGCCTACCCTCCCTATTTTCATTCAGATCCTGAGGCCTGAATACAATGCGCAAGGACTCTAACCCTTACTCCTTTCTGCCTCCAGCGGATGCAGTGCTACAGTTTGACGTGGAGCTGATTGCACTGATCCGAGCCAACTACTGGCAGAAGCTGGTGAAGGGCATTTTGCCTCTGGTAGGCATGGCCACCGTGCCAGCCCTCCTGGGCCTCATTGGGTATCATCTGTACAAAAAGGCCAGCAGACCTAAAGTCTCCAAAAAGAAGCTCAAGGAAGAAAAACGAAACAAGAGCAAAAAGAAATAAATACTAGTTTGAAAAAAACTTCTTTGCATTCTTTACCTGATATTTTCTGAGGCTACTTCTGTAAGAGGGGATGAGGTAAAGGGCTGGGCTCGGGAAAAGGCATTCTGAGTTGGCTCTGGCCTGGCATGGGGGTGGTTGGAGGCTTTGGGTCACCTCTTCCCCTGGCCTTCTCTTCCTGTCCTAACTTACCCCAAGGACTTGTTCTTGAATCTTCCCACAGGATCTCTAGATCCTGAATGGATTTTGGCTCCCCTGGTGCCCTGACTCTGAGCAGCAATGCTTCATTGAGCAGTAAGTCTCCTGATAGTTGCCTAGCTATTCACTCCACTCCCTGGGGCTGCTATATTCCTAGTATCCTCAAAGCAGACTGCTCTGTCCAATATGGCAAAGATAGGAGGAGCCCACCACTCCGTTGAAATTTTTAATAGCAAAATCCTCAGGTCTCTCAAAAAATTCTCTGGGGTTGAGAGGAAATTTTCTTCTTGTGTCACAGGATGTGGGAGATCACATGGGCTGCTTCAATGATGTTGTAAGTGGTTGGAGGTTGGTTGTCACCTGGCTGGGTTGGATGTGTGAACGAGGGCTCAGGTAAGTTGCTCCGATGGTTGACGATGAAGAGTGGATTTAGCTGGCTCAGCACCTCATCACTCACTGAGATGCCATCTAAGTACTGCTTGAGCATCTCCCGCAACTTCCCATTGATTTCTAACAACTGGGCATGTCTGTGTTGGAGGCTCAGTTGTTCCAGTTTCACTTTGTTGTACCTTTTCCAGAAATTCTCCATCCCTGTGTAGTTTGCTATCACCTGGGAGGTGAGTTAAAGGGAGAAGGTGTGTGCTGGGCCCATGGGCAAATGCAGCCCAGTGCCCCCTCCTCCCCAACCTTGAGCAATAGCCTCTGGGCCCCAGGCACTTTACCTTTGCCAGCTCCTCAGTGAGCTCCTCTGGCTTAATTTCCTCTATCTCCCCTTGCTCCTTGGGAGTCAACCCTGATGAATAAAAGGGCAGCACTTTTTCTTCCTCTGTTTCAAATTTCCGACAAATTTCAGCAAGTTTAAGGATCTTTTCACCCTGTTGGAAGCAGGAAGAGACCTTTTATTAGGAAAGAGGGAAATAGTGGAGTTGGTTCCCCTGCTTGAACCCAGGGAAGCTACTCATCCAAATGTAAGATAAGACTAGTAAATACATCCTACACTGAGTGCTTACTGTATGCCAAACACTATTCCAAGTATTTATATTTGCATAAAATTCATTTGTTATGAATTCATTGAAAATGTGAGAAGGGAGAAACATGGATGTATTCTGAGTGTCCATGTAGGCAGGAAGCAGGAGGAAGCCCTCTTCTGCATCTCTCAAGCCCCTTTCACTCACAGTGAGCCAGGTGTCCCAATTTTGTTCTGACTGCCCTTTGCCCTTTGTTACCTTATCGACAATCTTTCTCAGGACCTTGAGGGTGGTGTTACTTTCCAGAGTGAGTTTGACTAAGTTCTCTTGTGATATTCCCCGGGCCTGAGTCCTTTGGGCCTTAAGTTTACACAGCTGTGCAAGGATCAACTCCTTGTCATCACGAATGTACTGGTTCTGCTCTTCACTCTCATGGCTGTGCACCATGATCTTGCCTTTTAAAATAGTTATGGAATCCTGGAGGAACAAAGTAGATTAGAGGAAACACTTGACTAGCTGAGAGTCTTCAGTGAGAGAGAGGAAAGAACTATCTGGGGACTGAGATCCAAGCAGATCATCTTTCCTGAACCAATGATGGGGCCCAGTGGAAACAGGGGGAAGAGAAATGGGAGAAAAGAGCAGTTAAAGCAGTGTTTCCAGTTGGCTGCACTGACCTGTAGTCTCTGTATTTTTTTCATCTGTGCTTCAATCTCTTTGGAGCTCCTCTCATCCTTCACCTTCAGGGTCTCGAAGGCAACCTTCTGATCCTCTGTGGCATCGGTGTAACTCTTGAGTGCATCCTGGAACCGTCTCCACAGATCTTCTACTGTATTCTCTAGCTGCAGTCTTAAAAAGTGCTTCTCTTCTAAATTCTAGGAAGTTGCCCCAATATAGCTATCAGTAGTGCCCTTTCACTTCCACCGGCAACCTCACCCTCTGAACTGTTTGTAGTCTGGTAGAGAGCAGAAATCACTAAGGAAAATGCCTATAGACACCAGGCAGATGATATAACTAAGTGCTGTGGGCTAGATGGGACCTGTGGGGAACCAAAGAGGAAATGCTCCTGGGGATCGGGGATCGGGGTGGCCCATCTACTCAGCTCCACATGAATGTCCTCATTTGGAACGTGGCCCAGTGCTGCCAGATCTTTTTTCAAGGGAAGTGGAAATTTTGGATTTTTATGTGAAATCTCCCAGTTTTTAAATGTAGTAAGATTATTAAAAACCTTTACAAAACACTGTGGGGCAAAATTAAGACAAAGAACCCCATACCCAAACCCAGGTCTGTAGGCTGGCTAAGTTCACAACCTCCAGGATGGCGGGACGCACTCTGGGCCAAGAGGCAGGAGAACTGGATTCTCCGGGCACCACCGAAGCCCAGCAGCAAGACTTTGGCAGGTCATTTTACCTCTTTGGGCCTTTGTTTTTTCACCTGCAAATCATGGGGTGAAGCCAGATGATCTCTTTGGTGCCTTTTAACTCTAAAATGCATTTTGTTGACATTTCAGAATGGTTTTCCTTCCTGACCAATTTTCACAAAACTACAAAAAGCAGTAGGAGAAATTTCAGTGGCAGCAGGCATTTTATTGTGTCGGTTCAGGGATCTCTCCTAGCTCTAGACGCCTTCAGCATTTTTCTCCCACTTCTTTCCCAGCTCTTGCCCATCTGCTCTCCCCCCATACCTTGTTTTTGAGGTCGTCCCATGTGCTCTGGAACTCCAGCTTGCTTTCATACTCATAATCTATATAATTCTGCTCCATGGCCATGAAGACATCTTGTAGGTAGTGTATCTCTTTTTCATGCTGGTCAATAATTGTCTTCCTATAGGAGATAAGACAGTGTCCCTATTCTGAGGGATAAAGCATAGGGACCAATAATGGCAGCTTAAAGCAGTATATAATAAAACTGAATAGTACAGATTCCTGGGTACTGAAGGATACCAGAGGTAGGAAGGGCTCTATCCTTTTTAGGGCCAGAAAAAATGAATAGAGTAAAATTATTTTGATATTTGAATAAGTAGTATAGTCATTGATACAAAAATCAAAAAGCACAAAAGATTACAGTGAGAAGTCCCCCTCCAATCCCAGTCCCCTTCCAGATGGATTGGCTTCTGATAGTTGAAAGTGGGGGTGAGGGTGACAGACAGGGACCTGGCATGGGCAAAGGGAGGCTAAGGCCACAAGCTTAAACCTAGGTTAGTTTGGAAGGAACACAGGATCTTCTCTGGTGGGGGTCATGTCATAGCCAGGTATAGCTACCTGCTTGCAGGCAGCTCCTTGACAGGATGCTCCCCTGGACTCAAATCATCTCTTAGGCCCCCATACCTTTCTGTCTCAAACTCCTTGGTTAGGGCCTCCAGCTCCATGTTGTAACTTTCCTCTAGGAAGCTGAGCCGGCACCTCTGCAGGGCCAAGAGCTGGTCAATGTTGTGCAAGTGGCTGCACAGGGCATGGGCATGCTGCTGCTCGGCTTCTGACAGGTCCTTAGCTAAAGACTGGGTAGGAAATAGAGTTACTGTTTTGGCTGAATGACATTTGTGTTAGAAAATAAAAAGGTATTCACTGGATAGCTGGATGGCATTTTCCCCTGGTTCCTAATACCAATTCTTTAGCTCTAGGAGTGCTGGTCCTCCTACCTTTGAACGTAAAGTAAGCATGACATCAGGGATCCCCATGTAACTAGCCAGTGTCCTAAGAACAAGGAACATTTACAATGATGGGGCTACTCCTAAAAGGAACCAGGGATTCTTGGAGAAATGGCTGCTTTGAAGTCTGAGGCAGAAAATAAACAAGTTGAATGTAGGGTATCCTGTTTTACAAGATGGCAAATAAGCTATCAGAGACCAATAGGGTCACGTCAAAAGGGCTTAGGAACCAACAGAAGTGGTTCACGGTGGCAGATTACACGGGCACAACATCTCTCATCTTTCAAGCTTCTTCAGTATGACCTTGCCACTCCTCCATCAAGAGGAAGTCTCTTCTTCTATCTCCTTAAATTTGGGAAAACCCTGTGACTACTTGCATCATCAGAAAATGGTGAAAGTGACACTGTGCCAGTTCCAGGCACAGTCCTTACATGGTCTGGCAGCTTTTGCTTCCTGCCTCTTGGAATGCTTATTCTTGGGACGCTCCCTCTAGGAACCCAGTTGTCAAGTTGTAAGAAGTCCAGTGCATGTGGAGAGGCTGTGTGCAAGCATTCCAGTCAATAATCCAGCTAAGCTCCCAGCTGACAGGCAACTACTAGCCAGCTTAGACATCCAGACCAGTCAAGCGTTTGTACAACTCAGCCCCAACTGACATCTGACCAATGGTATGAGAGATCCCAAGCACGAGCCACTCTAGTGAGCTAAGTCAACTTACAGAACCATGAGAGATAATAAACTGTTGTTTTAAGTCACTGATTTAGGGGTGGTTTGTGGTGTAGCAGTAGATAACTGGAACACTTCCACTGGCAAAAAACGGACAGTGTGAGCATCAATAGGATAAAAACTGCAATGAACTGAAAAATATCAAATATGTGTGATTTTGAGTTCATAAGGATACTTTAAAAAAATCAGTTACAATTGGAGTATGCCAGATAACCACTTTTTTTTTTAAACTGGTGTATAAAGGAAAAAGAATCAAGCATTTATCCTGCCTTTCTTATATAAACTATACTTCTGGATAAATGAATGGTAAATGACAGAAAGTCTCTATGAAGTTTTCAAGCTAATTAATGAAAAGAGGAATGAAGCTATTAGGAAATCTGCATTTTGCAACCCTAGTGGATTAATGGGTAATCAACAGCCGTTAACATCAAAAAAAGAGAAATGACTAGACATTGTGTGCCTCCTGATGGAAGAACACAGCACCTTCAA